TACTTGTGTTTTACTCGTATGTACTCGTGTGTTACTCGTATGTACTCGTATGTTACTCGTATGTTACTCGTATGTACTCGTGTGTTACTCGTATGTACCTGTGTGTTACTCGTATGTTACTCGTATGTACTCGTGTGGTGTTTTAGTCACGATCAGTTGTTACTTTAGTCTTTACCCTGCAAGCATGCAGAGTATGTATTGTTACTTCAAATAGTCTGGTAAAACATTTGCCCAAAGGCAGTCAACACACAAGTATATTTTAATTTTCTAGCCTTTAATAGAAGATTTAACATAGCGTGACAATTATTTTAAACATTTCATCGTTATTGTTGGCACTGTATAGGCTGTAGGTTTTTTGAAACAGAAATATATCCTTTAGGATTTACATACAACAGACATATTATCGAGGATTATCTGGTTTGAAACTATATAGCCAAGTTTACACATGGTCCTTGGTGTCATGAATCATTTAATCCTGCATCGCTAATGCATGTTACAATAATCTTGTTAAAATGTGTGTGATTTATGAATTTCCAAAATCGGGTTGAAATATGTTGGTGTTGTCCGTCTTAAAGCAGAAACGTAACCTTAGGTAAGTGAGACTCGTCCTTTTGAACGCTTTTGACAAAATGTAGTTTGTGTAGTTACATGAGCTAGGTACAAGGTGCTACTGCAGGCAACAATACACATTTGTACTGTTGAAAAAAATACCTCGCCTAATACAATGCACTTGATTCGCGCATGCAGACATGACAATGTTTCCGTTGGCAATTTGTCAAAAGTCATTCATCCTTCACAAAGTATAACATTCTTTCTAAAATCTCTGGAGTCTAGACTAATTTATTCAACCGAGGGCCCTTCGTATAAACTTCACTGTCATTCAATCAGAAAGATTTTGTCAAACATATATATTGACCGGATTGCCAATGTTATCATTTGATTAATTTTGACAAACAGATGCGGTGTGATATAGAAACTATTAGCGGAATTCATGGAACTACAATGATGTTCATTCATCGTTAATTTACTGCATACAATCCGTGCATATATGCAGTGATAAAGAAATTTTAAAAATGTATAGTTCAGCCAATATATACTGTAGTCCATTCAAAGCCGGACTCAAGTATAAGCTTATAATACTTAAAATATACATAAAAATACACAGTTGTAATAGGTGGCTCAGCTGGCCGTAGCTGATAAGTATTTCTAAAGCATGGTTTACATGCACCATCCAAGCTGAGTTTCTGTCATCACAGTTGGAATTTTGCATATAGGTATATAAATTCGAAGTTTTGAAGGATTTGTAAGAATTGGAACTGACTCAATGCTAAACAACAAGTCATGCAGTTCCCTCAAACATTTCTTACAAATCATTCAAAACTTACCATTTACCTATATCATGGCTATGCAAAATTCCCACTGTGATCACAGAAGCTTTGATGGTGTAAACCAGCCCTAACAGTTCTCAGCGTCAACGCCAATGAATGAATCCTCCATAACTAAGTATACTATAGTCCGCAGTTCAAAAATTAACAACATAGAGGAACTTTGCTGCTAAATACCTCCTTCTTAACTTATTGATATATGCTGCGTGTAACAGTCATTAAATTGGAATTAATTGATAACTGTATGTCGTTGTAATATACTAATGATTCTTCTATTATTAGTGTGATTAGACAGGAATTTCGTTGCGAGAAGACGATTTACTTTCGGAGTTTCAATAAACCGTTTTGAACCTCTGCAGACATAACTCATAAGTGATAAGTCTTGAGTGTTTCAACAGTCTAGTCAACATGTAAAGCAGAATATATAATATGCTAATGTATCAGTATCTTCATGCCTTTTTGAGCAAGTTGACTTTCAAAGCAAGGTCTTCTAACTATAGGATCATCTTGGTACGAGAATCCGAACACATCACAGGGCGTCATATAGACCATCAAAGGGCGTCATATAGACCATATTCTCATGAGGTTTTGCCTTTGGTATTTACTTTACTGCTGCTAGTAATATATTAGCATACGTGTATAAAGTATGAAAGAGCAGACAGATGCCTTTGCTCAAAACTTCGTGCGATCACATCATGTTTTAATTCAAATGCTGTTTATCTATTGTACACGAAATGTAGCCCATGACCCAATGTTCAATACTGACTGCATGGTTACTTCTACACGAGCTGTTCTCGATACTCACGATAGAGCCATGATATAACTTGGTAATTTGTCCAAGCTATGAAAAGCCTACCATTTTCTGATAAATTGTATACATAACATGATTAACATCTCAAAAGCAAAGGATTATGATGATGAAGAAGATAAGAAGTCTTAAGGGGGAGAATTAGTTATTTCAGAAAACGATCGAATGCGCGATGAATTTACAACTGAACAATTTTTGAGGGAAGGAATAATTTCAGATCAAAGCTACGAATAGGCAAAACTATAAAAGCTTAAATAAATATACCGGCATATATAGGTGTCACATCTCACACCAGTCGCCCTGTAGAGTAAATTATTTATCTAGGCTTCAGAACGCCAAGGACGGGAATCATCGCAAGACTGAATTCCAAAAGTGATAAATTTACTTAGCTTGAATGCAATATAAGATTTGTAATAAAATTGTCGGGTATAGAATATGGTATACAGACTGTATTAAGATGAAATGATCTCAGAGTAGTTTTAGACTGGAGATTCTCATCAGGACATCAGTTCGATCTGTGACTGTAGTGAGAAATTCAGAGTGGTGCAAGTATACCGCAGAGTAAAATTGTTTGCCTTGAGTAAACTGTATACAGCACATTTACAGTATTCCTTTACTTCATATGTCTTGCGCTGGGAAGATATTCTCCATTTTACATTTATTTCTAAAATAACCTTATAACTTAGACTTAGAGAATGGAATAAATCCACTTATATTCCTACGGCTACGTCTACGGTTTGCAAAGACTGCAGAGACGTAGTAATTCCAAAACCTTCATTAAATAAAGCCTCGCTTTACGGTAGGGCAAGGACCGCAAGGTACATTGCACTTACTGATCGGTGCATTCAATGTGGCTTATTAGCCGCCAAAGACAAAGTGAAATTCAAAAGTTAGTCAAATATATATCGCTTGTGGTTGAGTTAAACTGCAAAGTAAACCTGTACATATGTGAATAAGGCAACACTGCAATTACATACAAAGCGTGTACGGCTTTAATACTAATATATGGAGTCTGAAGACACAAAGTCAAAGGCAAAGCTATAACTCGGCGTCGGTACGTATTTAACATTAATGACAATGCGTGAATACAAACAATGAGTGTGTGTATATCATTTTGGTTCAAATACGTCTATATTCTGTGGAGTAATTGTCTAGTTGTAGTGCGGAATAGCAGTTTATCTTTAGCAGTTAATTCAACCATATTTTTAAATGGAAATTACAGGCCTGAGAGCTTGTTATATCGCACACACTATATTTACCTTGGCACGTTTGGTTCGCCTTGGTTCTTCTTGAAACTATTATGCTGTATTCTCTTGAGTATCCAACAAATGAATGATAAAGTTTAGCACACATGAACTGCTGCTTCTCGCAGCTTTGTGATGTCAAGCTGTGTCTCGCTGTTTGAAAAGCAAATCAATCGGAAGTGATGCGAGATTTTGAAAACATCTCAGGTCGCACCTATTGACCTCGGTTGACTCTAATATTTCAAGTATGTATGGCCTCTTGCCAGAAAGTTTCTTTATTTCATTTTCCGCAGCGGACATTGATGGCTTAAGATGCGACTGCCCCCATGTACAATGTAGTCAATGTATGCTTCATTGTATACTGATTATGAATATTAGGCAAATGATAGTCGGGTTTATCGCTCGATTTCTCTCTCATCATATTTTAATGACGACTCCGAAATGAGATGCAAACGAACACATCATCAGTCATGCACTTGCATCAATTCACACTCACTCAGAAAGATATGTGAAAATCTTCTAAATACTGTAAATCCAGAACGAAATCCATTCTAAGAGAAATAATTAAGAACTTCGGCTCGGTACGTGCTACTTGACCCAGAGGCCAGGCTGCTGCATATGATTCCAAGGAATTGCACTGTATTGCGAATATTAACCTGTATAGGGGGCATTATCAGAAAACATTGATCAAATATATGCCTATCTATATACAATTACGGTTGTTTAATAAAATATTTTACTGCAGGCTAGGTGAAACCATATCAATGGTGAAAACATCTTTCAAAAGTACTTTTGAAGTTCGGTACTACAATTCAAAGCCTTTCTTTGTCTCCTTGATGAAAGAAATTTGGTTGTATCCAGAGATACGTTTCCTCCCTGCCCCTGGTCAACAAATTAAAATACTCCAAGGATTAGCATCATGATGAATGATGATACTCAAGGGAAGACAAGATGCATTGAGTTGTGAGGACAAACCACAGACAAACTGACTGACACAAACGAAAGAATATAGATCTAGGAATCCAAAGCCGGTGTGGGAGTAGGCGAGCTAAAATTTCAGGAGCCAATTCAGAATACTTATCAGTGTTATAGTAGTGTTAATTGTCTTTGACTTGGTATAAAAGTCTATTTTTTACTTTAGCCTCAGTTAAATTTCTTGCTACCTCATCAGTTGTATAACTTTTCTTTTGTTCAACCACATATATAGCCATTTTGTGTTGTCTAGCTGTTGACAATTTTTGTTGCAACTTGCAACGACGAGTAAAATTGAAAGTTAGTGATTATTTCTTGTCAAAGTTGTCTTTACCAAACTTCAATAAAGTTAGTGCAGAAAAAAGGAATTTTCTGTGATTAAAGTAAAATTTGAACAAAATATCTGAGTGTTTGACACTCAAATACATTTCAACGAAAGCTTTGTGTTGGATAAAAGCACATGCGTTTCGTTTCAAGCCAGTGTTATACGGTTGCAGACTGTGAGACCGGCGAGCTACGGAACACAGAAAACTAGATTGTGTAAGCTAGCCTCATTTAATTGTTGAGGCAACATTCAAATTTTTGTACGGAAACTGAAGATCAACAGGATTAGTATTAAAATTTGCAATACCAACAAAAATAAAGGTATAATAAGAGTCTAATATCCGTGTCTTTGGAACGCTAGGAAGATTTGTTTGTAGATAGATTATCGTGGAATTTACATAATGAAAAAAATGTGCCTTGTGTTTATCTTATCTTGTTAATAATCTTTCAAATAGTGATAACTGAACACAACGCCATGTGGTTGAACCTCGGCAAGCATAATTATTCCAAGCAGTAGATTTGCCAATTTAAGTCCTGCAGGTCATGGATGACAGTTGAGAGTTGGCAAGACAGTCTCCAACAATTAGACTCTCACTTCAAGTGAGAGTCTAATTGTTGGCGAGTTTTCAGTGAGAGTCATATATGAGAGTTGGCATGAACTCGATTTCATTCTCGTTCGGCCTGCAGACACCATTAAGGCAATTTTCCATTGCAGCCGCTTTGCCCGCGCGGGTGGAGCGACACATTTTAATCACGTGAAAAATCAGTCGCGCGGGCACGCCAAATAAGAAAATTGAATGCTGAGTTCAATCTACTTTCATGACAGAGAAAGTTGAGTAATGTTCGACCGCCAGCTCGGGCAAAGCGACTGCAATGGAAAATTGCCTTAAGAGCGTCTGCGGAGCAGGCTACACACGTAAAAACGCACAAGTTGTAACAAACCTGCAGCGGACTTGTAGCAATGCTGTTCCAACAACTTGTCATCAGGATGTGTTCGCACTGCTTGTTCCCAGCTTGTTGACAAGTTGTCAACGGCTTGTTGACAACTTGTTACAAGGTTGTTGAGCTCAACAGACTTGTGACAAGTTGTTCCAACAAACTTGTTATCGTCCTGCATTTCAACAACTCGTCAACAAGTTGTGAGTGACAACCTTGTAGCAACTTGATAAAATAACAGCATTGTTCCAACTTGTTGACAAGCTTAATTGCTACAAGTCTGTTGCGGGCACATCTTGTTGACAAGTTGTGAGATTTTTACGTGTGGGCACACGCCTTTTGGGTTCACGGCTTCGCGACCTGGAGCCGGTTGTTCTGAAAGCTCGGATTGGCTCTAACCCTGGCTTAAAATATAATCTGCTGCAATTTATTTTGTATGTTTCTGCACGTCTGTTGTTTCAAAACTTCAGAAAAGAAAACTCCCATTGGTCTACACAATATTTTTGAAGAAATATTTCCAAATTTACTGAACAAAATAGTGGGAAGTTTGCTTTGAATTGTATAGGTTAACCTAGGGTTAAGCTTTTGAACGAATCGAGCCGACGACCTTGCGAATGAACCGTGTAACAAATGGACTGGACTAATTTAGTGCATGATATCCTGACTTCACCCGTTCTCTTGTGAACGTGGTCAGGTCTTTAAAATCTGGCTTTCAGATACTGTATATTGAATTACTGTCAAAGAGTCATTGACATATATTCTATTGAAGCATTTATAAAGTGATAAATATTTCCGTTCGAAATATTTTAATATATTAGCATTGAAATAATTTAATACACCTTTAATAGATCAGTCGAAACGTATAGAATTATAACAGAATGAAAAATTTTCGGAGTATCCATTGCGCTGTATTTCAGTATTAAAATATTCAGTGGTTATCGCAGATTTTGGTCTGCATGTGCGCCCAGTGAGTTGCGGTAAATTGTGTAATACAACTGCAGAACTGCTCCCAGTTTGATCGATCGATATGATAACATCATGCTGTCTCTTTAATTTATCTATTGATCATACCCGATTAAGGTTGAAAAGTTATCGGTAATAATGTAGACTGGATTAATAAAATTATGAGAAATTTGAATTTCTTTAATTTCCGTGCATCTAAGGACCTATAGTTTCTGCTCGACCTTTATATACGATACGACTTCGTAACTAACAGTTAGCCAAACAACATACGCGGGCAGAAACTATACATAGCTTCTTGTTAACATGCTACAGAAACTACATGTTAACACAAGAAGCAAGAAAATGCTTTGGCTGTTTCATTCAGAAATTCAACTGAGCTAAATTGAGATATTGGCAACGGGGTGCCATTTAACTTTGACTTTTGGACATCCAGCGTTGGCTGAGGTGTTGAATATAAACGTTTGGTTGAATTTTGTGACAGCCACTCAATGTAAGCAGAAAAATATATACCTCGACGTTTTCGCTTTAGTAGTCGATTAGTCACTTTCATGAGATAGACCTTCGCCAGGAATAGACCGAGAAGCCTATTTTTTCTGTTTCATCTGAATAGCTGTCAAGTACTGAATTGAACTAAAGGTGCCAAATCATGTGATTGGCAGATTATTGCGTCCTAGTCCTGTGGATATTCGCCAATGATCATACGGGGATACATCCGGGATCCCTTATTGCGACCGTGTAGTGGAAATACAGCGAAAGAACTGGCCCTAGACTGTCGCCATTATCACTGGCATAGGCAACTGAGACAGACGCTGTAGGAAGTAGATTCAAAGAACGAACAATGGACCTTTTGCAGGTAATATGGGAAACTGGCCAAGAGTGTCACTTGCTCGTTGACAGTAAAACACACAAGGCGTTCTATGACTTCGGGCTATATGAATATGCGGTTTCAATTTAGCATTTATATTGTCTAGGAATTGTATTATATCAGTAACCTTTTGTACTTGGAATTCGCTTTGGCGATTGGATGAAATTTCGGTCGGAAATATGGCCGGGAAATATAATCGCGGGCAGACATTAGATCCTACCAGATATTACATTTATGAGAAATTTGCAACAACTCGGTCTCGGAGTGAATGATCGAATCTATGAAATAGTAGTGCTATTAAGATGAAGAATAGGTTATATTTCTAAGACTATATAAGACCAGTTATAGCAATTTAGTACATGAATACTTTCAAATATTAAGCATAAGTCCAAGTGCCGAGTAAGGTATATTAATATAAACACGTTTAGTAAGACATACTTATGTGTACTTATAAACGAATCTTTAAAGACCTAATCTTGACAATCTTTTGAATAACTTAAATATATATCTTCAAACACGTTTTAACAGATCTTGAAGCTGATTCCTAATTTGGAGTAATAAAAGTGGCAACAAAATGCCGTATTAGACTGATTACTCAGAAGATAAATGCATAAAATTGCATGGGCTCTTGGGGATGGGTGATGACATCTTCACTGCATAGACTATATATGCGAATTGGCAAATTCCGGCATGTCAAATATAATTTAGTTAATACGAGTTAATTTCGTAAAATTTCAACCATAGTCGATACGTTAACTTTTCCCACGTCGTGTTGATTTCTCCACAAGAAATTTGTTTACATTTCTCTTTTAGTCAAACAAAACCATCACGGTTAAACTCTGCGAGTTCAACGACTTGTTGACGTGTTACTTATGCAAAGGTTATTGGATACGACCTACAACTATTGCAGAATGCTTGCATACATGTAAGTCGAGAGGGACTCGCGAGTCACCGACCTTTAAATAATGTAATAGTGCATGTAATTTATGGGTTTGTATGTTTAAAACCGAAATATTATGCAAAAAATTTGGAAAGATGATATTAAATGAAACGGATTGCTAATCTAGCACTTGAAACCGAGCAGAATTGCAGCAGATGGGCGCCTTTGTTGTAATGCGACTATTTATGCATGCATAGAAAATGTTGGCTAGCTTTTGTTATAGACGATATTAATAATGTCGACGATTAAATTTACAGATTAAAGTCTTTCCCTTGACTGTAGGAGAGTTTATGCTTGGCAGAGCCGTTAAATCGACACGAACTTAACTCGTTATCAGACATTAACGATTTCGGAGAAACGAGGATCGTGTGAAATAAAGAGAACAGCAAATTTATAAAATCTAAATTAAGAAAATTTATGAACGTATAGCGACATGTCGCCAAGTTGGTGTCACCTGATGATCGGCAGCTGCGAATTTCAAAATAGGAACGTAAACATCGAAAAGGGATTATAATGCGTCAATTTAGCGAAACAGCGGGTAGTGATTATTTTAATTGGTATCAATTGAAACAGGGATGTTTATCTCTACAAATGAGAAATAAAAGCTTCACTATTGATGAAGGCAGTATATTGTCTGGAGATGAACTAAATTGACAGTAATATTGCCTTGTGTAATATCAATAGTTTCAGTAGTTTGCAATTGGTATTGCAACGAAAAAATGCGTTATGAGTTGCAGAGAAGTTGAAACAGCTTCTACGATTCGCACAGTTTCGCGCAGAGGTTTCGCGCAGCAGGCGGTATTAGTGTGCAGTCTACTTTTCGCATAGCATCATAGCGTGCTACTTTTCGCAATTTGCGACGTCGGGCCGTCGGCAACTTGGCTCGTGCCACGCGCCCGCGAACAGGTTCCAGGAGACTATACAGTATACTTGCCTTGTAAGATATTAATTTAACAGACCAAGCCTGCGGTCCGAAAATATGCATTTTAATTGAAAATCTAACACATGGAGTAAAATTTAATGATGATTTTAATCCATATCAGCTTCGGGATTTTCAAATTGCATCCTTTCATTTTATAACTAAGATACAATTTGCAGGGACGCCGGAACGATGTGAAGGCAAAGGGGGCATATTTTCGTGAAAGGGCACTTTTGAATTGATATATACTGAGAGATGTTTGCAAAACATTGGGAGTTGAACTTCGCCTAATAATGTTTTCTATTTATTGGATGATAGGGGTGTGAGGGGGTTCTCCGCCAGGCGATTGTGCTATTCTTGAAGCTCGATGACTGCATTTCTTGCGTTTTCTGAAGCAAATTCGTAAAAGAATTGCACCAAAATTTCTGACAATCCGCTATTTCGCCAAGGCAATCCTTTAAATTTAAAGGGCACCTTTGCCCCCCTTTCCCCTCCTGGTAAAGGGCAACGGGGGCGGCTGCCCCTCCTGCCCCCCCCCAGTTCCGGCGTCCCTGACAATTTGCTTTTCAACACTGAGAGGCACCATAAACTAAGCCTTGATTGCAGTAAGGGTGAATATTGAGGTATGGGGGCATCTCGTTAGACAGAACTAGTTGTAGATTGAATATTCGAAGAGAAGCAGTACGGAAGTTCTTCCATTCTTACATTTACGGTGAATTAAGGATAAAAAACTTAGGAAATTATATTATATCAGTTTTCTACAGCTAAAACGTTATCTATAAAGTTTGTCTGTGTTCAAACTTGACTTGCTATTTACATTTCCTGATTTTCACATCTACTTCAAATTGGCAACGAAGCTATTCTCGTTTCAAACACACAAGCAGGGGGCGTAGCTAGCCTTATTTTCTTTGGGAGTGGTGGGGGGGGGTGTAAGTGAAATTTGGCCGAGTCATTTCTGCAACGTGATCATAACAAGTTTTCCCAGAACACCACAAATTTTCCCGGACATGCATGTGTATATGTGATGGCAGTTAAAGGTATACGGGTAAATATCGCGAGACTTTGGGGCATCTCGTCATCTTAATTTTATAAATTTTTAGTTTGTAGAAGTTGTATCGTGCAATATCTTGATGATTCGGATGAAAATGAATGTCCAAAATGCTGTACAGTTATTCATGAAACTAATCCTCTGGAACTTCTCAGGTATAACGTCTATAACCAGCAAGCCTCGTTATTCCAATGATATGACAGATACTGCCGATATTCTGCGCCGGAACGGCAAAAGAGACGGTGTGCGGAGGCAATCCAGGGGCGAATTTTCAGTGTCCAACTAAAAATATCGGCTAGAAGGAATCAAGTATCCGTATCTGTATACTCGGACATTTTAACAAAATC